CCAGAGGCTCCTCCAGTAGAAACCCCGAAGGGCAACGACACACTTCCCAGAAGGAATCCAGGCCCACCTAAATTTTATGGATGCAGGCGTTTCATTTGTCAAGTGGCCTTAAGAGCAGAGACTAGGAGAATTGTAGATTCCGGAGACGAACCACTGATAAGCTTTTCTAGCTCGAAAAGTTTACAGACGACTTTTTCCTCAGACTCCCCTTCGGATTAGTTGACGCCACTCGAGGACATACTTACCCATCCAACACTGGTGGCTGAAACAACGCAAGGTTCCTCGTCAACTCCTTCGTCTTTGACACCGAAGATCGCGGTGCTATCCTCACCACTGCTAGAAGTCAGACCCGTCAATCAGGACGATGAGGAGAGTGATATATCTTCAGTCATAGATATAAAAGTGAGAAAGGAGGCGGACAGCTTTCTTGACACATTTAACGCCACATCTTAAAACTCATAAAACTCCTAAACTCTTTTAGTGAAACTCAATAGAGTTGATTTTGTTTTTGGTTATTACTTTATTTACCAATTCTTAATTTTAGTGATTTTAAACATTTTTTAGTTTAGTTACCTATGTAGTTTAGCCTGTTCAATTTGTTTATATGTCACATAACCCCAATTGTACATAACATTTCGTCATTTGTATAGTCGCTGTATGTTTCTGTTTCATCTTGCAGGTATCCTGTAAATATAACCAAATAGTCATCTCCAGTTATTTTGCATTATCTCTGTAAATTCCGTTGATGCTAAACGCTGATACTTTTTGTTTCAAATTTGGCCCTCGTGGAGTGAGTGGAGAATGGAGTATATGTGTGATATTGGCTACACAGGGAAAGTGCAGATATAAAATTTTTCGTGCAGTGCGGAATGTTGTGATTTAGTATTTTAGTATGTTTTAACCTTGACCTCTAGGTGTTAATTATGTACCAGTTAATGTTTACTCTTCGAAGTCCAGTGGACTTCGCGTCACTAGTTGCTCTTTTAAGAAATCGGTGAGTTTTAATTCAATACTTTAATTTATTCCTTTTTAACTGAATTTAGTTAGAATAGTTACCAGTGGTATTTGCATACTTTTATTATAAAGTACAAAGTGATAAATTTTGCTCCTAATAAATTATAAATTATGAAGAACAAGCTTTCTTCAACCAATTTGGAGCGATTTTCAAGACTGATTGAATCTCCGCATACAATCAAATCTCCGCCAAAATGACAATCTTTAAACCCCCATAACTTTACGAAAACTTTTTTTAAATTTGAGCTCAAAATAACAACACCTTTCAAGTGATACAAAAAAACTCCAACGCCAAAAATGGCTACTTAAAAAGTCAAAATTTGTCTGAGAAAAAAGTAGTTATTAGTTGGTTGCGCTGCATTGGGATTCGCAATTTGCATTGTAGGTAAGAATTAAGTTGTATTTTGCTATCGTAATCCGTAGTTTGTTAGCGAAATCCGCAAAACGTCGGAATCTGTTTTCTTTAGCGAAAGCCGCATATCAATGGGCAAAACCGCGTGTGTTTGCGGAATCCACTCACTATTAACGAAACCCAATTACAAATACTGAATTATCAAAAATTTGATACATTCGCTAGTTGCGGATTCCGCAATACAATGAGCATCCTAATTTTATAATATTATGATTATTTTTTTGTCGATTCCGCATTGTTTTGGTAAGTGAATTACACTTATATTTTGGAACACGCTTAACGGCTTGTCTCAGGATTCCAGGTTCCTACACGCATTTATCAAACGGTGCGTGCATTCAGAACACAGTCTGGCCTCGTAAAAAACTTATGTAATCTTAGTTGAAAATTACACGACTCGTGACAAACGACAACCCGTTTATCTATAGAAAAGTTTTCTAAACTATAGATGTGTTTTGACTGCACTCATATACGGCGGAGTGATCACCCTTCCCTCAATTCTGTTTTCCAAAGGGTCATCCCTTGGCATTGTTATTCAACACCCGTTTCTACGCCAAATTTAAAAAAATGGAGGAGAGAAATACAAAACCAGATACAAAAAAATCCTTTTTTTTCGGGCAACTTCTTTTGGAAAAATTTTTGCGCACGCCACTGCTTGTTGCCAATTTTTTTTTTTGCTTCTGGTCTCTAAAACTTTCATCAGACTGACCTTTTAGCAGACTCAAAGTAATTAACGAGAAAAGGAGGTTGAAAAGTTGCAATGACAATTAGCAACCACTTTATCCGCTTTCTACCACTGCTCATACACTGAGACACAAATATTAATTAGCGTGAATCAGTGTTGGCTTTTAATATAGTTTTTTTTACAAAATCCAGTTTTTCTTTTAACTGAATAAGTTGTGAGCCATTTTCCGAACACACTTAATATGAAAACTTGCTAAATTTCGTCAAACGAAAAGATTGAAGAAAATGGAGAGATTTTAAAATAACGCCCCAAAGAGCGAACAAGATGACGAAAGAGTCGTTAAAGAAAAAAAGACAATTCGTGACGTCACATTTCCGAGAAAGGTAAAAACGACTGTTTTTGATAAGGAGAAAATCAGAACAAGCTTTATTGGACTGACGAGAAGTCGGAAAACCGTAATAAAAAACTAACACAAAACTCTAACACAAACGGAAAATTGTAATACTTAGTTGAGTTGTCACCATGATATGTATTTTTAAACAGTTTTGAGCAGCAATGTCTGAAAAATTGCAAAAATTGGTCGAACGAAAAGATAGAAGAAAATTGAGAGATTTTTTGTATAATGCCACAAAAAAAAAAAAACTGGATGGTGAAAAAGTCGTTAAGGAAAGAAAAAAACAGTTCTTGAAGTCTGATTTCCGAAAAATGTAAAATCGAAGAAGAAAATCAGAACAAATTTTATTGGACTGACGAAAAGTTGTACAACCGTAGTAAAAAATGACACAAAACGCTACCGTTAAAATTTTTGTGTTACTTAGTTGGGTTGTCACCATGATATGTATTTTTAGACAGTGCTGAGCAGCAATGTCTTTTCCGATCAATCCACCCTGGCTGACCAAAAATGCTCATTGCCACTTGTTACGCTGAGTCAAATGAGTGGGGTGCTTGAAAATTTTGGCATTAAAACTCTGTTATCGTGCAGTTGTTTTTTTGTATTTTGTTGTAACATCTGTCTAAAATCATCCATGATGTCGTCTTGTTCATCTTGTATTTCAGTGAAGCAGTTGATGAGATCTTCTGATGTAGCGTGATCAATTATGTGGTCAACAAGTTAGGTAGTGGCGTCTTCCGAATTCCTGAGTATTTTCATCATCTCTGTCTCTGAATCAGCTATGCTATATTTCAAGTTTAAATTAGATGTGGCTTTTCTTACTCGTCTAAAGAGGCGCTCTAGTTGCGCGATGAGGTTTCTCGGAAAAAGAGTTGTTTTGTTGGGCATGGCTAGCTTGGTAGAGATTATTGACTTTGTCCTTGCACTTGTCGTTGTTAGTCGTGTCTAGTCGTCATTTGAACCTACTCTTATTGTCCTTGTCCAAGGTAGCTAGACCTAAGCTTCAAAAGAGCGAAGCAAGAAGAACAATGATGCGATATATAGTTTCAAAAAAAGTATAACGAAATGTAAGAAGCAAATGAAAGTCGCAAATGCTTGTAGCCAAAATTTTCCGATACTCAGACAAGCGGAAAATAAAATAAACCAGCAGTAGATTTAACGTCCCTGTAACAAAAAAAGCTAATTGGGTAGAAATTTTGAACAAGCTTTGTTTTAATCTTAAGCAACTGCAAAATTAAGACAAGACAAAGCAGCTGAAGATTCAATTGGTTGAGCTAGGGCGAGTTTCTGGCTGTTTATCGATGTATCCTTTTGTAGCTTAGACAATGCATTGAGCCCTTTCTTTTTTTAACTTTAAGTTGAATATCACTTAGTTGATTGCACCTGATAGTTTTTTCTGTTTGGCTTTTCCCCAATTTTGTACTTGCTGTGATCTAGTTTTTTGTTTGTTTATCGAAATTTTACTGTGTGCATATGAAAATTTGAAGTCGTCTAAGATCCTTGTCATTTTTCAAAGTGGCTTTTAACAAATATTATACCCAGATTAAGGCCTGCGACATAATTTTAGACTTTCAAAGTCTGAACATTTCCAATTTTGGTCGCGAAGCTCTACTAATACCCAACTTATTTGCGACAGTCTGGAAGTACGAAAAATCTATCGCGATAGTCTAATCAAAATAATCGCAGGCTCGGCTCGGGTGCTGACAGCGCAACGCTCATTGTTAGGCGCAGTGCAGTGCGTGGCGAGGTATCCAGCTTTGAAACTCACTCCAAATTTAATTGCGACAGTCTGGAAGTACGAAAAATCTATCGCGATAGTCTAATCAAAATAATCGCAAGCTCGGCTCGGGTGCTGACAGCGCAACGCTCATTGTTAGGCGCAGTGCAGTGCGTGGCGAGGTATCCAGCTTTGAAACTCACTCCAAATTTAATTGCGACAGTCTGGAAGTACGAAAACTCTATCGCGATAGTCTAATCAAAATAATCGCAAGCTCGGCTCGGGTGCTGACAGCGCAACGCTCATTGTTAGGCGCAGTGCAGTGCGTGGCGAGGTATCCAGCTTTGAAACTCACTCCAAATTTAATTGACGCAAGCTAATTGTTCATAATACTTCTCTATGTTCGCTTGTGGTATATGTGCTGTGTGAAGTGTGTGCCATTAGAACTGGTTTTTCTTTTTTGAAAAAAATAACGAGTGTTGCTCTTTTTATCTACTCTTGTTGCTGAAAGAAACTAGTATTACCTTAATTTTTCATATTATGACTAGAAATGAGTTAAATGTGGAAGTTTTGAGTTCTAACCTAGAAAATTTGAAAAACTATTAATTTTGAGTTTTTTGAAAAGCCATATCTTCTTCCAAAAACATCAAGATTTACAAAGAGATGTTACCTTTAAAAGACATAAAATTTGTGTGGAAAATGTATTGTTTTTTTTTGCTCAAAATGTTTGTTGATGAACCTGTTCTTCTGCCAAATCTGGAATTTTTTGTTCATATAAACTGACCTGGTGACTGTTTTCTTTAGCTGGGGACCAATATATTGCAGAATCGGTCGGAAATATATCATCCGCTGGCCAGGTATGGGTGATGATGGTAGGCTGTATGTTTTCCGGAAACTCCCAAAGCCGTGTGAGCCAGACCAGTGTTCTGGTACTTGCAGGGTAATAGGGTGCTTCGGGTGAGTATATATCGTGAAATGGGGTTAGTTTTATGTAAAAACCGTTCAAAGGGGTCTCTACGCCATAAGAGATTGCTTGCACGTAGTAGTCGTACATATGTCCGGGTTCGAACCAATCTGGTGGATTGTAACTCTAAGAAAACAAAAAATAAATAAACTTGTTAAAAGTACTGCAATAATCCAACAATATAGATACTTATCATTGAACTAGCAGCAATTTGAGCAAGCGCAGAAGGTAACTCAACCTTTTTAAGCTCCGCTGAGAACTTTTTATTAACAATTTAGAGAAAAAAAAATATTAAACTTTTTCAATTCACGTATCTTGCATCTTATTATTATATTCTTTCAGAATTGTATACGAGCAAAAACAGGAGGAAAAAAAACAGATTTCCGAGACTTGAAAATACTTTTTTATATTGTTTGCTTAATTCAATTATTACAATGTATTATTTTTGGGTGTACGCTTTTCTAATTAATGATTTTTTTACAAACTATCTCAATACTTTTTTACCAAAACAATTTGATGAAGTGGTTTCAATCAATATCTCTGATTTACTGCATAAGGTTGTATATAGTCTGTTTAGGCTCATATAAAAATATTTCAATGACATTAATACTGAAATTATTTATTGAATTATATAAAAAACGTATTCGCACAGATATTAAATTTTTGTTATTTTTGTTGTTGTTGTTAGTGATTTTATTCTTCTGGTCGTATCGAGTGATTTGTCTAACTCTTGTTTTGTCATTGAATTGTTCAATTTGTCATTTTCATGCTTTCTTCTGAAAACTTTAGAGAGTAACTTCAGCAGTTTGATACGTGTAATTCGTTGATTGAGCAAATTCCCTGCTCTTTTCTCACTGTTCTTACTTCTTGTATTTTTTTGAGGCGAAACGCAAATCGAATCAAAAAAATTTGTTGTATTTGCAAAATTTCTTAAGCGGTTTTATTGGCAGCTCCGTATACTAATACACCATTTGATTTTTTGGTTGTATAACCTGCCGGTAAATTTTAATGAGAACAGATGAGCTGAGAAACTGTCTTGTTTTAAAAAAATCAAAATGAATCGATTGCAATTTTTTCTTATTTTTTTAATATGTTGGTTGAAAATAACATTTTGGTTCAAAATTTAACCCGGTCATATAACTGCACTTTTTAGTTCTATCGTTTTTTGGTTCCACGTAAAATTTTTTTATTTTTTCTATACCATTGGTAATCATTATTTGTGTTTTACCTTTGTTTGCTGAAAGTTTTTTATTTTCCAACCAATCTGACATTATTTCCAAATCTACTCTAAGTTCTTTAATTTTAAATTGTTCCAAAATATTAGTGTTATCTGGATAATGAAAACATTCACTGTCCTTTGTTATATTGGGAAGATCATTGATTTAAATTTAAAAAAGCAGGGGACCCAAAAGAGAACCTTGAGATACTACACAATGAAGCTGTTGCTAAACAATTGTTTGAATAATGGTTTCTATTGCTGAGGTAGGATTTCCGTTTATTAAGAGGAACGCCTCTCATTCCGTTAAGGTGATTCTTGTGAGTAAGAATATTATGATCAACACTATTGAAAGCTTTAGATAGATCTAAGAGTGTGCAGTGCGCCAAGTTATCAGTAATTTTTGCTTTCAATAAGAACCTGTAAAGTTTCCACAATAGCATCAATTGCATAATCAAAAAGTTTTTACAGGCTTGTCTATGACTTTTATTGCTACGAGTTCTCGCTTGCCTTAATGTGAACTTCAACACATGAGAACATACACACATACACAATTAACCGCACGCACACACAACAACACACACAAAACACACACACACACACACACACTAACATATATGTGTAAAAATGTGTGTGTGTGTGTGTGTGTGTGTGTGTGTGTGTGTGTACGTGCGTGCGTGCGTGCATGTATGCGTGTATGTGTTTTTTATTGTTAATTTATAAAGATATATTAATTTATATGAACATGTATACACTTATATGTAACGTAATTAATTTAATATTTACGTAATTACATGTCTTTAGAGGTACTTACTTGTTCTGAAATTAACTCTACATCAGGGATGTTGCTGATGCCCGTGAGGTCATATGTATTTACGAGACGTTCTGTGCCGTCACCGGGATTCTTTGTTATGATCTTGATCTGCATCCACTTGCCAACTTGCACCAGGTAAAAAAAAACATACTAAAACATCGAAAAAATTAAATACATTAAGATATGTACAAATAAAAAACATCAGGAGCTACAAAAAAGAATATGGAATCGGATCAAAGGCGGATCTAGGATTTTCTCAAGGGGTGGGGGCGGATTTTTAAAAAATTTCCGAAAATGTTGTCGACCTTTTTTTTAGGTCGACCAAATTGGTTTTCCGAGCTCTCCCAAAAAACTAAAAAGACCCTGGTTTGGCCAAAATCTCTGCGGTGCAGGTAAAATTTTAAAAAACAGGCAAAACAGCGTTTTTAGGCACTTTTTGGGAATTTTCGACCAAAAAATTGCGTATTTTTGGCGCACGCTCCTTTCAAAATTAGTATATATTGGCGCCAAAGGCGCCTTAAGAAAATTTTTGGGTCCGTCAGCCAAAAACGGATATCTCAAAGTTGTTCAAAGAAAGGACCTCCAGCCCCCCGCCCCCACTCCCCTAAATCGGCCCCTGAATCGAATGTTTAGAATACCGGGAAGAAATAGGAGAAGGACTAATGTTAGGTTATGTTTAGCGTTTAGTCTTTTTTGATTGATAAACATTTTGTTATTAGATAGTTTTTCACAATTTTTGGAAGCTTTCAGATCGAAATGCAGATGTTAACTTCACGTCGAGTCAAAGTTAGTCCTTTCTTTAATCCTTTTTTGAGGGATATGTTGAATGAGCGCGACTATAAGAGAAGGGAGGTTTAATGAGCGAAATCTAAGAAAGAAAATAATCTGGGAACATTTAATTAGTTTAGTCCTTTATTAAGGCAATATGTATGTATAATTTGAAATTAAGACTTAAGCGATCTATTGAGAATTCGATTTTTGCTGCATTCTGATTAGCCAAAAAATCGACTTACTTAATCTACTTAACAATAACACCCCCTTTTCTTGAAATAGTTACTCATAGTCTCACATCATAGTATCTTAAGTAATACAATGAGAGTTAGACAGAAAAAGCCCATAGGTTTTTTGTTCCGACTTTTTTTAACAAAAGTAACGGAATATTTAGGGTCGGTTTGGTTTTTTCCTTCAGACAAATTACGGGTTGAAAGATTGCCATTTTGGCTAATTTGGGACAATTAAGGCGCGATATATTTAATAAGAAATCGCTTCAAATTAGTTGAAAGAAGCATTTTTGCCATAATTGATTTGTTACTAGAAGCGAAACTTATCACTTTGTACTGAATATGGCGTGTGGGGGGATGAATTTCACAAAATCTCAAATTAAAAAAAATTGTTTTATTTTATAACATTTAATTTTTTTTAAAGTTTTTACTGCTCCATAGACCTTAAAAGCCAGTCCTAACGTTCTTTCACGGCTTCGCCTTGATACCAACAGTCTTGTTAAAATTTGAAGGTCTCTACTCTAAAAAAAATACCGGAGTAAAAAAAAGTCGCAGTTTTGGATTTCCAAATGAAAACTCGGGCGCATGAAAAGCTGCAAGTCTTTTCTAACAGTTTCCCAATGAAATTCTAAAGCAAGGTTTATGAACAGAGACAAGACTGCTCGTATCAAGGCGAAGCCCTGAATGTTCCGACTTCCTTTTTAAGGTCGATGGAGCAAAAACAAATTGAAAAAAAAAATTAAAAATAATAAAATAAAAATTTTTTTTTATTTCTATCATCTGAAAATTATCTCCGCACACGCTAAATAAAGCATGAAATGATAGATTTTGCTTCTAGTAGCAAACCAATTATGGCAAATAAGCTTCTTTCAACCACCAACTTGGAACGATTTCTAAGATGGATTAAACCTCCTCTTACGCGTTAATGGCGCTAAATATATCGCGCGTTAATTGTCCTAAATTGGTCAAATTGGCAATCTCTAAACCCCCATAAATTTATGGAAAATGATCACAGGTGAACTATACAATTTTTTAAAATTTAAGCTCAGGACAACAAAATGTTTTGAATGATGTAAAAATATTAAATCAAAAATGCCTAGTTACAAGGTCGAAATTCGTCTGAAGAAAAAAAGCACCCCGAGCACGAGTATTCCGTTATTTTCATAACAAAAGTCGGAACAAAAAGACTTATAGAATATCAAGGCGAAGCCATGATTGTTCCGACTGCACCCTTAACCAATATCGAATAGTTTTTGGGAAAAGAAAATATTGAAAAATTTTAATTTTTGCACAATATCAAAGATCAAGTGTAAAAAATTGAACCGTACGAAATAAATACGACAGATTAGCAAGCCTCATTTCAATTTGGAACGCTTTTGTTGTGCGGGATAGTTCGCCACGCATAAATAGTTCTCGTTACGCTTTCCGCATTATGAATGAAATCTTCAAAGCGCGCATAAATTAGTCGAGACTTATACAAAAAATGGTCAGAGGTTGATATTTTTACGTTTGATTTCAGGGAGCTGAAATCTTCAATAGGGAATAAGTGTTGATTCTGTCAAAAATGGTTAATTTAATAGTGATTAAAAAAAGTTACTCCGATCACAATTATTCTGTTACTTTCGTTACGAAAGTCGAAACAATAACATCCATTGGTCAAGAAAATATTTAAAATTTTATCAGATTGACTAGCTGCATTGGAGGCAGATTTAACACTAGGTAATATCTATCTCTAAAGCTGTACCAATAGAACGGTTGTTTTTTATTCAAAATTCTCAATATGGTCGATTGGTTGTTGCATGTAGATTTTGAGTTCATGGAAAAATGTTAGATAAATATGAAAATGAGTAAGTCATTCGATTGCTTAGCTTGGATAAAACGCTACCCGCACTGATAAATTTGAATAAATGAAAAGCCCTGAATGTTCCGACTGTTCCTTAATTCATATCGAATAGTTTTTGGGAAACTAAAATACTGAAAACCTATAAATTTTGGACAATATCAAAGTGTGACATGATGAGTCCTACGAAATAAAAACGACATAATTTAGTCCAGAACGTGAACACTTTCCAAAAAATAATCGGAGGTAAAATATTTTTTTTTTCATTTGAACTCAGGAAGTCGATATCTTCAATGGGGTATATAATATTTTTGTCGAAAACTATTTTTTTTCGATCGGCGAAAATTGACTGAATAAAAAAGCACGCCGAGCATAAATATCGCGTTTTCTTTAAAAGTCGAAACAACAACAAAAATAAAACAAGTAATTTTGAGCACAATTAGGCTGAAATTTCGGAAATTGGCTCAAACAGTCAAACACGCCGCAGAATCCAAAAGAGTATTGAAAAAAGTTTGCTGGCTGTCCGCAGTCCAGATTTTACATGTATTTGAGAAGATTACGCGCAAAATGTTGATTCAGAAAATGCGATTCGAGCTATAACTTTTGGCCAATTGTTCTAAAATAAAGCAGAGATTGTTTTTGAAACCTCTCACGTCTAGCATAAGAATTTTGAAGCGACAACTTACGAACTCATCACAGTAGTATTTCACATGCCAGGTGACATTTGGGATGTGGGCGAACCCTGGGTTTGTCTGCACCTCCTCACACTGATCATTCCAATTCTGAGGAACATGCTGGGGGGCGATGGGGGGAATTACCTCTTCAAATTTACTCGAATGGGTCAGTGCTTCAGTGTACCGGTCTGATTTGCTAGTGGAACTGATTGTTATCGTGTAGTTTTCCCCTGGCATCAGATCCTTGAAGCTGGTCGTCCGGCTCAACCTAAACGATAAATTTTTTAAATTTTTAAATGATTTGAAAATGATTGTAACGCCACAGTTTGATTTCCTTAAGTAGCCGGAAAACTTGAAAAAACTTGCTCAAACAAATTGTGTATCATCAGGGGCTGTATATCAAATTGTATATCAGCTCTTTCTTATCATCAGGGGCTGATATCTTTCGACCATTTTATCGGTCGACCAAATTGATTCTTGGAGATCTGTCAAGCAACTATAAAAAGCCTATTTTGACAAATCTTAATGCACCGCAGGCAAATCTTTAAAGCGCCTTTAGAAAACATTAAGATCGGTCAGCCATAAATGGATATCTTAAATTAGTTCCAAAGGACAAACTCATCTGAAAAATTATTGTTCTCCGGAGCTCAAATGTGAAACAAATTGCGTCGGCGATCTTTTTGCGTAAAATTATTGTTCCGACTTTCGTAGCGAAATTAGCGTATTATTTGTTCTCGGGGGGGGGGGGTTTTCTTCAGACAAATTTCGACTTTTCAACTAGCCATTTTTGACAGAATTTTTTTCGAAAGCTAGTTTTGTCTTGAGCTTAAATTTGAAAAGATAATTCACCTGTGATCATTTTTTGTAAAGGTATGGGGGTTTAAAGATTGTCATTTTGGCCAATTTGGGACAATAATTTGCGCTATTAACGCGTTAGCGAGATTTAATCTGTCTTGGAAATCGTTCCAAATTGGAAGCTTATATGCCAAAATTGAGTGTTAATAGCGAAGAAATCTATCACTTTATATGGTGTGTGGGGGGATGATTTAAAAAAAACCTCAACTTATTTTCCATCTCAAGTTATTTTCCTCAACAATAAAAAAAATCCATTTTTATTAAAGTTAGTTTTTCTATGTTGTTACTGCTTCATAGAACTTAAAAGGCAGTCGGAGCATTCAAGGCTTCACATTGATACGAGCAGTTTTGTTGGGGTTTGAAAAGTGGTAGTTTGGCGACTTTGGGATAATTAACACGCGATATGTTGCGTTGTTATAACACTCGTGAGCGGCTGGTTATTGTTCCGATTTCCGAAAAAAAAACTGACTATTTATGCTCGGCGTGGTTTTTTTTCATACAGTCATTTTTCGCCGATCGAAATAATAATTTTCAACATAATTTTTTATACTACATTGAAGATTTTGACTTCATGAGTGTAGATTTAAAAAGATATAAAATATAAAATTAGCACATTGGCCACGTTCTGGACTAATTTATGCGCGTTTTGAAGAATTTGTTCAGATTGCTGAGAGCGTAACGCGAAATTTTGGCGAATTGTCCCGCACAACAAAATTGTTCCAAATTTAATTGTGGCTAGCTTGTCAGATTGGTCGTATTTATTTCGTACGACTCAACATTTCACACCTTGATATTGTCCAAAATTTATAGGTTTTCAATATTTTCTCTAAAAACTATTCAATAGAAATTAAGGGACAGTCCGAACGATCAGAGATTTGCCCTGATAAACGAGCAGACTTGTTCTGGCTCAAAAATTGTACAAAATTCGATTGAGGCATGCAACAGTCACGCGGCAAAAAAGTCGCATTTTTCTTAGTTCAACGAGCAAAATAACGAATGTTTGTTTACGATTTAGTAATTTTTCTAATTAAGTTGGATACAGGGTTGAAATTTTTGCACAGATAAAGCTATTGGAAAGCGCTTCCTTCTTCGAAATTGAGAAATCTTGTTCTATAGGCTTGAACTAGCCATTATATCACGACTTGATCCAAATTAACTGGCTGAAATTGGTTCTTTTGAAGCCGATGAGCTGGATATACTATTTACGCCCGGGTTGACAATAAATGCCTATCATACCATTTCATACTATGAAAAAAATGCTTAATATACTTTTTCATACTATTTCATATATAAAAAGAACACTAATAAAATAGCAAGATAAATATTTGTTTTTCATACTATGGAATATTATAATGAGTATTTTTTGCCACCTATTGGAATTAAATCACAAGCGTTTTGCTATACTGTTTATTACAAAAATTTTATGAAAATAGCAAAAACAATTGTTTCTTCTATTAAATTGTATGATCAATTTTGTTTTGAATTTTTGTTTTTCATGCGAAATACTATTCGAACGGCATTTGGTGACCTCAGCCATCTGAGTTGATTTTAGTTTTTCAAATGGAATTTTATACTAAAAATGTAACTTTTTGCATGTGGCTGGATAATTTTTAGTTGCTTGAGAACAAAAGCCTGTATTTGTTTACAAAATTATCTTTATTCTGGCTTATAAAGCAAAAAATATAAATGATTGTGTTTACCAGTAATAATTGTGTTTACAAAAAAAATACTTTTGTGATTTTTGGATTTTTTTGGGTGAAAAATTTTTTCTGGACGCCGTTATAAACGCGGAAATTTAAATTGTTTTATCGTAAAATTTTTATATTGAGCACAAAAGCAAGTTTGCATTTGCAATCAAAAAAAGGATTAAAATTTTTTTACCTCACATTGGTCTTTTTTAATGAGAAAATGCATATCATACAATTTTCATATATGTAAGCATTTTTTCCGACCGAAAATGTAAATTATCTTTTTGACATTAAGTTGATCTCAATCACTGAAGACCTTTATTAAACTCATTTTAAAATTGTCCAAACAATGTTTCAATTGATTTTTGGATTTTCTAATTTTTTCCAAAAAAAAATGTTTATTGTACAATTTCATATATGAAATATGAAAGTTAATTGATAAACAATTTTCGAACAAAACAAAATCATGTTTTTGATAGTTAAATTGCTCTTTTTCATTGAAAGCTTTCTTAAACCTCATATGTAATTACCGAAACATGTTTTTAGAGAGATTTTTGAACAAAAAAATTCTATATTAAAATGCTTATCATGCAATTTTCATCCATTTAAAAAAAAAATTCATGACCAGAAAGCTTCAATTGAGCCGAGTAGAATAAAAATGTGCACTAAAAATCTTTAGGAAAGTTATTAATTTTGTATGAAATATGTATGATAACATTTTTTCCATAGACACCATAAATGAAATTGTATGATAAAGGTTTTCCTTTTATGGAAGCAATTTGAGACGTGATTTCAAAGTCTTCGAAGATGCGAAGAAGTTTGTGTATTTGCGAAAATGTTTCAAGAGCAAAGACCTCAGAAACTAGTTGTGATACAATTCTTTCTTTGAGTCTTCTCATCTTTCGAATTTTAAAAAAATGCGACTTCTCTGTCCTGTGACTGTAGTTGATGTTCCGTCTTTCGATGATCCAAGATTCATTTGAAATTTCCAAGCTCATTAAAATTATCTTACAAACTCAAAACAGCTTTGAAAAAACCAGGCAAGATTGCATCTAGCGCCTTATCACGTAAACTTACTGGGAGAAATCGAAAGTCCGCTCGGGAAAGTCGGTCACTTCGAATTCATCCCCGACGACAGAGATGTTGAAGTGGAGGCCTGTGCCGGAAGAGGTCACCGTGCTCACATCAATCTGGGTGATGTCTGCTGTGAATTCTGCAGTGAAATTGGCCGTGTACATTGAGAGATTGAGCCAACGGGAGTTTCCTTTTGCGGTCAGTCAGAGATCGTTATCATTTAATTGCAAATATCTTTTTGGGAAAATCTCAATTTCTCACATCAATTTTAGACACAAATTTTCTGACACCAAATTTAGGCACAAATTTTTTGACACCAATGATCAGGGGCGGATCTAGGATTTTCTCGAGGGGGCGGGGGTGCGGATTTTCAAAAAAATTTAGAAAAATTTTAAAAATTTAGGGTTAGTCGGCCAAAAATGGATTTCTTAAAAAGTACCAAAGGGGGGGACCCTTTGGGTCGGCAAGGGGTCGAATCCCTGAAGGAGGGTGCGTCCGCCCCCCCCCCCCCCTAAATCCGCCCTTGCCAATGATATTCATCGTGAAGTTTTTGATCAAAAATTTAATTCAGATCGCACAGCCAATGGGTTGAGTAAGGAAAGCAACTTCGAAAACTTCTCCCGTTTTTTCCTTCAACTTTTCAGTCAAATCAGCATTTGATTTGCGTTTGGGAACCTTAAAAACGATTAGGACGACATGATTAAAAGGTCGCCAACTTTTTAATCGCCTTATCACGTAAACTTACTGGGAGAAATCGAAAGTCCGCTCGGGAAAGTCGGTCACTTCGAAATCTGAATACCACATTTTTTGAAGTTCTCTGAAAAACTGGAAGTCGCCGTTAGTATCAAAGGGGACTAGTAGTATGTAAAAGTGGCTAGGAAATTGAATGCTTTCAACCCCCTCCCAAAATTCGATGTGGTATTATGTTTACATAATTTAACCCCCTTAGTGGTTGAAGCTCCTACATTTTTGGCCACTCATGTTTCATAGTGTTCAAAGAGTTGCATTTTACGACCACTCTCAGAATTTGGGAGTATACAAGCCTCATTTAGCTGCATAAATTCAAATTACAACTTTTGCCGCGATATATTGGTGATTATATCGTAGTCTTGTTTCTATTGAATTGATGGCCTTTAACTTTGCAAGTTTTGTTTGGTTATTTTATACCCGAAGACAAGGTTGTTATAAATGAAGTTTTTGAACAAAACTGAACTCATTTGATTGCTTTATTTCCAAATTTCATTTTACACTATAGCATGTATTTTGCACAATTAATCAGAATCATGCAAAATTATAGCACGCCGCCGTTTGGGTGGGCTGGGTTTTCAGGCTCACTTTCACTTTCATCTGCTTCTCGAGTTTCTGTATCCAGGTGGAAATTTATTTTATTGTTCTCTTTCAGAATCGGATTGCTCGCTCAGCCGGTCCAAGTCTACTTTTCCCCTTTCATGTTCAGTGTCAGATTACTGAACATGTTCAGTGCTGAAAAAATCTCTGATGAGGGATCGTAAATATGTCGACAATTTATCCACCCTACGTCTCTAAAACTATCTGCAACTTCGCCCCATCGTTATCAGTTGTTGACTGCGACCACTCAACGTCTTCGCCCCAGTCCGAATTGTGCCCAGTATGTCAAAAGAACATGTCTCTCCGCAAAAAAGTGTTGTGCCCAAACGCTGTCGTATTCATTTTATCTGTATGTATATAACGCTTGTTGTCAAATGCTTTCAAGCTGATTTTTTTCATTACAGCTGTTTTTAAGCTATTTTCTCTGGATCGTATACGAATATTTATAGATCAAGCAATTGTAGTGCAAGTGAGTACCTCCTTATAAATTTTCTGCCGTAAATCTCTGTTGAGCTAGCTTTGTGACAAGTTTCAGTGATTGTTTCATCGACTCTGAATAAAAAGACTTGTTTCTAACATAAAAAATTTTAGACATTGATTTCTTTTTCCCTTCATAACATGTATCTTTTTGTCAGAAAATGTTTTTAATTGTCATTTTTGTTACAAATGGAAGTTTTATGGTATAAAAAGATCCCTTACTTGTAGAAAAATTACTAAATGATTGCAGAAGCCAACTTACCCGCTGCAACTATGCTGTAAAGTTTAGTTCCAGTACCACAAACTTCTTGAAATTTAGCGTCACGCGCTTGTTTTCGGTGTTGTGGGGTTGAAGATTGAAAAAGTCAAACTTTTTTGACCTTTTCATTGTATAAACCGTTGGTGCGGATTTCATACAGGAATTAATCAGCGTCAGAACATAATAAAGAGCAGCTGAAGTGTTCCTTCATAATATTGTAATGGGAATCGAACATGTGGTGTTTATCCAAATCAAGGATGGCTGCCCCACAATTAAGCATATCCTGCTTAATGTTGACAGAGTAAAAATAATTGATCGGTCTCACTTATTTTAACACTGCTACACCATTTTTTGTTGCCAGAGCCTGCAGTTATTCTGCGGTCAGAACAATATCCACAAGTAGTCGTTTTTTTTTTGAATTCGCAAAATTCTCCGATACATTTTTTCGGGAAGAAGTTTTGAATAAGCTTTGGTGTAGTGCTCACATTATTAGAATTGTTCAATTTTTTTATCTGTCTAATTGAACATCACTGAGCCACAATTTTGACACTAGTTCTTTTATTGATGCTAGTGCGTAATCCTAATCTGCATCGAGATGCTGATCGGGATAAGTCATGTCTATGTCCATTATGAATCTAATGTCAGATTTCTCTCTCGTATTCATAATCTCTTCTTGTGTTTTTTGTCATTAAGCTCGAATGAGTTTAGTGGTAAGGCAAGTTTTACCATGATGCCGCCATATAAATTGTTCGCGTCGATCATGAGGAGGTAGGTGCTGGGCTGATTCGATTCAAAGAGTTGTATAGACTTGTTTTTAGAAGTTGCAAGTCGTTTATCGAAATTACTAGCAACCCCAACCCTATCAAATTTTCCACCATACCTAAGTGTTCCCTGTTAGTGAGCAATTGCAGATCGGCCAATCAATTTCGTAAAAAAGCATCTCTCGAAAGATTGCTCACGGTAAAGTATTGAGTGCAATCCAGTTTATAAGTTTCGAAACAAACTCGTCTAAACTCTGCAAACGCGCATGCAAGTATCTAAATGTCAGTCGTGAAGTACAAGTCACCGTACTTGCCCAAAACAAATCACTGTCTGGGATCGAAAACGATTATAGACTGACGTTGATATTCCTGTTACTTCACACTTATGGTACCTTCTTTCAACGTGTTTTTCCACTTGTCAATTGGTGGTAGACCCACTTTTCCAAGGGCAGACTCCGGGCCAGCTCATCTAGAGAGCTGTTCATGATTTTGCCCCAATCAACAAACCGGATATACAAGTAGACCTGTCTTACATATCCCTGCTCATTAGAGTACAATCTGATCCATACTCTCATGGTCAGGGAGAAGAATTGTTCAGCAGTGAGGGGAATCACTGAAAATGTGTTACTTGTGTTGCTGTTTTGCTCTCCTGTAGGTTTTTGAGCACATGGTGCAAGTCAAAATTTTAGATGTTGTCAGCACACAGAGGGGGGATTTGTTGTATGCCTTAAAGTGTTGCAATTGTTGTGCGCCTCGCCGAGGAAAGTGCCATCGAAATGACTCTGGTCGGTTACTTTAATGTTGCTCTCGCTGAATTCTTCATCGCAAATATATTATCGATTCACTGTCTTCAACGACGGTGGTGTGCCCATTTAGTTTAGAAATCATCGCTTTTTATTGTGAAAATCACGTGCAAAAATTTTAAGCATTTTCACAAATTCAGACATAACGTCAGTATCTCTCGTTGAAAAGAAAAAAGTGAAGACTTCGCGTTTCCCTGTTCAATTACTAAAATACAAAACTGCTCGCCTTATGTTTTTCAATAACTACTCTGCTTGAGTTGTCTGGGTTGTTAAGCACCGTGTCTACTCTCTCTCACAATAAAACTTCAATACAGAGTACACTGCAAAATGGCTGTAGCTTCGTGCAGCAAACTTCTTGAATCGTACGCAGTTCTTGTTGTCGTCAGGCATTGTGCCAACAGCAGCTTCGTGCTCCACGCAAACTAATTGAGGTCGCTCCAGTCGCTCTGCTGAGAGACATCCCTGAAAACAGTTTCTGCAGAGCTGATTTTGCTATCTAAACTTTTGTTTCTGTAGTTTACTCACTAACTTATTAAGATCTTTTATCACCACATAACGGTGCCTTCCCATGTCATTTACAGACGGGAAATAGAAAACGAAATTGGATTGGTACTCTCAAGGAAAATAGATTTTCCTCGTTGTACCTGAAAAAAAAATTGAATTATACTCATCCTTTGTTTCAAGGAAGGTGTAACAGCATAGTTATCTGGAATTTTTGCTTTTTCGCTGGACTAGTAGGAAAAAGTGATTTGGGTATGATCATAATAAACGTTTTTTTCTCCTAACCTGAAGTTTTTCACTTGCACTCCATCGAGAACTTCGTAGCGTGAAATAGCTGGAATGGCCATGGGCATGTAGTCACCATTTGGCTCGTGCTCTCTCGAATTTTTTTTGCTTGTCATAAAATTTAATTTGATCCTCTCTGCTACTTGGTATCAGTTTAAGAGTTTTTTGAGAAAGGTGTTGTTTTGTCGGTGGCATTCGACAAGAAGCAAGAGGCTGAACCTTTTTTGACTTCATTTTATTATTGCTCACAGACAAAGTGCAAATCTGTTGGTAGAGGCAAGAAGGGTACAGCTCTGATTAGCGCTATCTTCACTTTTTTCGAATTTTTTTTGTCGATTCAACGATTTCTTTATCCGCTTTCGTGAGATACATACTGATCTACAGTGGATAGAAATTGATCCAATGAATCATAGAATTGATCATCGGTCCATCCCTGTAAGTCCACACCTATCTTCTTGCAATTAGCAAAGTTCTTATTAACTCTTCGAGGAGTACCGTCCACTTTTTCCTTCTCCAGCGTCACTCCTACAAACAATTAAGCAATTAAGCTTTTTGGGGTTCATACATACTGTTTCGGTTGATCAATTCCTCAATTTCTTCTCGGTTGTTCTCAAAAAGAGCAAGCAAGTCCACTTCATTTTCCAAGAGCACTATGTCGTACACCCTCACTGCCCCATTAAAAGCTGTCTCAATATATTGTTTGGAAGTGAAAATTGCTCAATCTATAACCATGCTGGCATACCATGCTCTTCTTGCA